AAGATGTAACGGTTTTATTGTGCAATCTCCGGTGACTTGCACGGTTTTTGTATGCACGCGCTGCAAGTGTTGTCGACAAGCCAGCGGCACCTAAAGCGCCATCAAGCGACTATGTATAACTATGGTATATATAACTGGTATATAGAACTATGGCCTATACGATAGACTCTATTGGTCTCAAACGGGTCTAAGTATGCACACTTCGCCACGCTGTCGGGTAAAGACTACAGGGATAGTTATTGTTGAACTGAACTTATCTGGCACATGTCACTCCAGATAGTTTCCGTTTCCTTTTTTTATTCTGAACTGTCTCCTGGGCACATTGACTACCTCTCCTGTATACGATCTATTTGCACTGTCTGAATGTCCGTATTCATGCATATCTACATAATTTTGCGCTTACTCATTAGTGTGTCCAGAAAGCCGTACTACCTCACTGCCGCATTTTCCCTCCTACCTGTTGCGCCAGTGTTGACTGCACGTTACGCTTGTTTGTTATTCATTTGTTTGTAGAACCGGTTATCGATGGCGTATCCATAGCTCATTTCGGTGCATTCCTATAGTCCGATACTCACCGAATGCAAGTTGAGCATAGTCCAATAGCTTCAAGCGTCCTTTACGATTCTAAGTCACCCGGATCTCGCACCATATGGACCTTCCACGCAATTGGCAGCCCCCGAAAAGCCTGTGGCCATAAACGTACAGAAGAAAGTCCAAATCAAACGCCCCAGGTAGGTTTTTGAGTTGCAGTTTGAAGAGTTCAGGTCCAAGGACTAGACCTTTGGGTACCTCGCTGATCAGGAAGATAACTGACTGCTATGGACTCTAACAATGTATCGGTCTGACTTGTCAGTACACCGGAATCGAGGAGACAAACGATCTTGAGGAAGCTGTACTGATATGAAATTCAATCGAACCAGAATATAGAAAAAGCTAACAGTCCAATAGATCAATGGAAGGCATGCACTCGCCACACAGGGTCATTAGCTGTTTTAATGATATTTCGACGCATTGAATAATGCGCCGGTGGCCAGGGTCAACCGCTGGGCGATTGGAGTGCGCGGTTTTTAGACCCGGCCTTCTCCAACCCGTCCTTTTTCAGGGGGGAGGGAAGCAGCATTACCGCTTCCATCAATATAGACGCGTTGGTCGACTGGAGGGAGAGTCCTACTACCTCGACACTACCATCGCAATGAACAGTTCAACCATAACTCCAGACCACCTCTTATTACAGTTATTCGTTGCACGATCACTCACCGACCCCTATCTGGCTGCTCCCCTTTGGCCCTCCTGGCATTGCTGCATCAGCCGGTGTAGCCTCCGGAATCATGGCGATACTCAACCCCACCAATTCGACAAGTTGGCAGCTTCTGGTTCAGAGAATTCTATCTCCACTAGGCTGCTGTACACGACTGTCGTCCCCATAGACTAACTCTACTTGTCATTTTCTAAATGTTTTGTCGACATCCGGAACCTAGATCCATTGAAGTATGCGTTGCATGACAAGATCAACAACAAAATTGAACAGGGAGAGGCTAGGAGGCCAGCATTGCCCCACTGGTTAAAAGCATACTTCTGAACCGTTCGGTTTAAACTGTTACGTGACCAGAAGTGCGATAATGAGGGGCACGAAATCTAGAAACTTAAGGGGTATGCATCCTTGGTCGACTACATGTAAAACAGCTGATTTAAATACGGAGTAAACACTCCTGCAAACTGAAGGAAAAACAAAACTGTGGCCGGCAGTATGTATGTTGCATTGCGGATATGTAGCCAACGCATCCCCATCAGGGAGAAACCCTGACTATCCCCCTAGGACCCAAATCTCGCGTGTTGGGGTTAGGCACGTAGTAGCCGCATTATGAAAGGTGTAAGACTGCACCTTTTATGACGGAATAGTCGTCTCATGTGGCTTTTTTGAAGAAACGCGATGCAAATTGGCCTAATGTGTCCAGGACGCGTTTTTGCTCCCAACTAAGCCCAAGCAATCTAGTTAAGGAAGAACAGAAATATGCGCCACCACTTTTAAATGGCGCAGATAGAAGCCCAGCCGGTCCAGCAGTCCGATGGTGTTTCACAGTAGAAAGGCGTGAGTGTCTTATTAACTAAGGGAGGATTTAAACTCACAAAAGACAGCCCGAGCTGAGTGAGTCGGATAAAAGACAGGTAAAGAAGTCGATTGCCAAGGCATTATTAAAAATATAGCGATATGTCGTCTACTGAGGGATGAAGTCCTGCCGGGTTCCCCAGGCCTAGAGATGCTGAATTTGGTCCTAATCACGGATCTTCTGGTCCGTAAGTTGGCTTCTTTACCACTAGGCTATCACGAGCTCACCCAGTGATATCGATGCTCGATTTTCCTGTACATTTGATTTTCAATATTATCTTCGGTTGGTTCATTTGAAAAAGGTGTCTTTGGTCCCATTTAGTGGATTATCCAGAAGACTCTAATGCAATTTCGCACCACTCCAGGAAGACACTAGAAAATCAATCGCCGAAAGAAACTTCGTCGGTAACCATACTATCGGAACTACAGTAGTTTGTGAGATGACGTTTTTTAGACGATCAAAGTATTTGATCACTGATACGGCGAATTTTGAAAGCACGTTGAAGGGAGAGATAACGTTATCGTACTCGAATCTTCTCCCATTAAGTCCAATGACTCTGATTGCAATGGATTGGGCGATTCCTCTGTGAAACTGAATCCAATGTGAGAGCAAGATCCTGTCTGCTTCAGAGTGTGGGCATTAAAATCAGCCAGAAAGACCGGCTTTTGGGGCTTGAAGACTGATTCCACAATAGCTGAGGCTGTCAGCACCGGCCGACCTGCAGAACTTGTGGCCAGGGCCGATGCGAGAACAGTCATCCGTCCTAACCGATGTCCCGGCAGGGAGAGTGCTAGTAATGGAAGGGGAGGGGAAGAAAAGCCTGTGAAAGAGCAAGGAAACGGCCTGATATCGCTTACCCGCCCTGGTGTACGCAACAGGATGGTGACTGATGGTACCACGCGATAGACGATGTGGCATGACAGCGTTTTAACTGTAGGAAACATATTTGCACGCGGGCTGGGATACTGCCAAGGTACCCAAACCTATACAGAAAGATGAGTAGCCTCTGGCTCAAAAGTCTGATCAAAACACAGTGACACTTGGTAAGAAATGCCGGTGCATTATGCTTTTTAAGAAACAAATCGCCACAGATGTACCAACTTCCAAACTGCAAGACCAGGTTGCGTTGATTAGTCCTCTTGCCAGTAACCAACCTGGTATGACACACCGCGTGTGTCGCATGGAATTCCCCAGTACAGCTCAAGAGACTACGAAGGCACACAAACCGTCACACACCAGTCTCTTCGTGGACAAAGTTGAAGTGGAGAAGGCAAGAGGTCCCTCTTGTCATGTATGACATCAAACCGCATTGCTTATACTTCCACGAAAGGCTGGAAATGCTCCGTATACAACTATGGTGAAACGCAAATAGTCGCTATGTATCTTTAGCGCGTGGTGACCAACATTGACAATCACGAAGTACGGATCCAGCCAATGTATGACAGGTTTTAAGCTCTTCGGAAGGCTTGTCGCGCTGTCATCAAATATGCCGAAGTTTGGAGGAGCACTGCCCCTGTTTTCGTAATCCTAGGAGTTATTTCGAAGCCTGTAGCTGATATTTGGAGTAACTCACAAATCCCAGCTGTTTGCCAGCGATTTTAGTAAGCACTTTGCACTTGAATGGTGAAGAAAAAAACCGAAAAAAGCACTGCTAAGTTGTCCAAGCCTAGGTAGAAGTCGGGATGCCGGCACCACATACTTCCCTAGTGGGCGAAGTGCTCCAAACAGCCCAGAATTGCGTATCACAGTTGCCAGCAATCGTGATAAATGCATCGTAGTTGAAATGGGACACGTAGTGTGCTGTCCAACGGTCTCTAATTACCTCTGTACGAATCCGTCGGCATCATTCAACACCAGAAACACCAAGACGCCTCACATCACCTGCTAGCAGGGGCAAGTTCGCAACAACGCAGCCCTTAACTGCAGTCTCGTGCGCGCCATCATTGAGATCCAAGTGACAAATTGGTATGTGATTCAGGTCTTCGAGTTTCCTGCGCTGGCTTCGTCCGACACATCTCCGTTAGACCCAGTACAGCTACCGAAACATTCAAGATCTTTTACAACTTCTTCGAATCGCAAGAGCATGTTCAGATACCGCACTTTGTGAGGCGCCATTTAGAACTTTGTAGGTGCAAGGCAGAGTGCGACAGGTGGTGTTATGGCGGCCAGTTTATCCAACAGCGCCTGCGCTTTATCTTCATCCTCAAAAATTAGCAGAATATCGTCCGCACAGTCCAGGTAGACAAGGTTCTCACCTCCAACGATTTGAACAACGGAGCTTTGAACAATAAGACCCAACAGTGCTGGTCTCATTACACCGGGGACGAATGTGAACAAAAATGGAGGGCATATCTCCACCAGACAAAACTTTTTGTGAGGAAAATCACACACCGAAGTATAGGAGTAGAGGGACGGGCTGTGTTAATAAACTCTGGTCACTTGCATCGTGCGTAAATCGATCCACTCCCTCATACATCCCTTTTTACACAGCAATGCGCAGGGTGAAACTGGGCCGTAGGAGGTCAAAAAATGACTTATCAGCGACGTGTGAAAAACATTGCCGGAAAACTCAGCTGCAACATACATCTGTAACATTCGGTGAAATACCAGTGTGTTATTAGGTTGTACAAGTTGCTGTACAGGAACTTCAGGACGAGTGCTCAGAATGAGACAGCGCCAATCTGGTCATTACGGTCAGAAATAATGCAAGGGGTGTGGATGTCGGTACTAACGTCAATAAATGAAGGTGCCAATACTGTCTGTTATACGGGGTTCAGAGAGAAAAGTGATTGTTTTTGAGAGGATAACCGCTCTAGTCGGTGTCAGATTTCGTCTTTAAGCATAGTATCGCATCCATGTCCCGTATATGCTGGAATTTATTGTGACTGACACCCGGTACATGAGCTAGCTCAATGGTTAAGGCGAGATGGCTCAAGTGGTTAGAGCGCGGATTTACTGACCGGAGGTCGGTGGCTCGAACCCGACCTCTACTCCTCAACTTCCCCTTTCTAGGCTTGGGCAATCTGGCAGTATCCCATCCGTCATGATTCCTTCGTGTGGCATCGCAGCTAGGCACCGGAAACGTGTTACTTTCTTATTGAACTAGCTCGAGAAGCAATAACTAGGTATCAGCGAATGGGAAGCACAGACATGCACCATCATGGTCTATCACACCAGATTTCGAGAGTTGGAAGGTAGAAAAAGGAATAGTTGTACAAATCGTGAGGAACAATCCTGGCACACATTACATACGAAACACAAGTGAAGCGAATAAACACACCCCCTAAATGAGTTAAGGAGATAAGTGTTCCGATTTTCCCTCCAGTAATATCCGAAATGCTTTTCCGGATTGTGTCCAATTCGATCGCATTTACAGCCTATTCCAAGCATGGACGACTTGAATGTTGAAAAATGCTCTTTCCTATCACTGCCTAGAATGCGAACCCGGTGAAAAAATGGGTAACGGTCTCCTAAAATGAAATGAATCGAGGCAACAAGTGGGCATCGGCTTACATCATAAGACGTATTAACCCACCCTGTCGAAAAGAAAAGCTGGGGATGATATCCGCATCTTTTTTGGACGGTTGAACATTCTGGATCTGGAACGAGCGACAAACAAGCAATTGGTGCTTACTACGAAACCAAACAGTAGAATCGGACAAGATGGGAGCGACTACCTCGTGAGATAGCCAAAAGTGTATATACATCAGCCCCATTGGCGTCGCCACCGAGCTTTCATCCAAATGAATTCGGCCCAACCCAAGAGCCAATGAACAAGACAAGGCTGCTTCAGACTAGACGGGGATCGACAGGTGTAGAGAACCCTACGGAGATTCGAACCTGTGAGCATTCAACTTGCATTTAAGCGTACTAACGTCGTCACGCGTGGTCAGTTGCAATCTGTTCAACTCACACACAGAGTACAGCACCAGACTTCCTCGAAGAGTGAAACAAGCCTACAAAGGAATCTAATCTTTCAAGATAGAAAGTTTATGCGCTTGTGAGACATCACACGTTCTGAACATTTCGTAGCGTTTTTTATCAAAACTAAAACCAGAATCCTCCCTTGGAAAAATATATGCCCATGGTGCACACCTTTGGAACGAACACCTTTTGATGTCGTTCCGTCAATCTGAGGTTTTCTCAGCATGTATACTTTTCACAAATCAACTCAAAGTGATAAGTTCACAAGGTCGTCTATAATTCAAATGCCTGAGGAAATTAATTCTTTTGGGCAGGTGATCGCGGGTTGTAGGGGCTATATATACGCGCGATGCCTCTGCGATTTTTTCGTTATTTTTGCACCGGGCTGCACACTATCACAGACGCGCTCTCGGCGGTGCTGAATAGCGATATGCAACTCAGGGAACAAATCAATGACCCTGTTCAATTGGCGCCAGCTTTATCTAGGCTACGGGCTTTTGGGCCCACGTGTACACAACCATACAGACGGTATTCAACACTCATCCTCAGAAAGCGGAAAGGAACAGTTGTCTTACTTTTTTTAAAAAAACTGGAATCAACCAAGAAGGTGCTTCGAACAGTTTCTAAGAAATCCAAAGACATTATACTCCATGTGGTGACCCGTTTTCAAGAGAAACACAACCGGCGGCTCGACAGTGGGTCAGTGCGAGAACTTGAATAGCCCGCTACGGCCAAGGCTGTTACTTCGCCGAGTACCCAACGAGCGATCTGATTGGTTGATCAAGATTGAGAACCGTGAATCGTAGGATGATAATGAACTTCTCATTCATTCGAAATGAATTCAGCCGTTCCAGTAGGCATGTACACGAGCGAAGAGTCGAAAAATGTACTCCGAAAATGGCAATTGGTTCTAGTAGACCCGCAGAAGATCGCTGACCGGTTAGTGCAGTACGTGAAATCCTGTCAGTTAGATAAAAAAAGACCTCTAAGGTAAGCTGGTGACATCAGAGAGTCACCTTCAGTGCCGAAACTGGCCGTCTCCATCACTCCAGTAGCAGCTACTGCGGAACTCTTTAATGTGAAACTATCATACTTTGATGGTAATCCGTGTCATTACTGGAGGTTCCCCCGCCAATTTGAAGCATAGAGGGCAAGGTTCAGGACACCGGTCAGAGGCTCCTGTATCTGATGCACTACTGTCAGGGAGACGCGAAGGCGGCCATTGAATAATGTGTGATGCTCCAGCCGGAAGTAGGGTACTCCAGGGCTCGGGAAATTCTACTCAATCTTTTTGGTCAGCTTCATATTATCGCTCGCTGTCTACCCGAAAGCCTATTTCCATTTGCACGACAGACCACTGGAGCAGCCAAGTGTTTGTCAGACTGCGGCGTGAAAATGCGTTACGTTTCAGAATTGCACGCAGTTGCGGTTGAAGGGAGGACCTTACCATTGCAGCACAAATGAGCTGAGGTGGCAGATAAGATATCGATGGGTGGCTGGGACCCAACATTCACTGACTTTCCGAGGTTTGTAAACACGCGCAACAGGGTTGCACGGGGTCGGTTTGGGCAAGACGTAAGACGCCCTCCTGTAACGCTAACTTCTACCAAACAAGCCCCTAGACATGATGGTTTCACTAGTTTCCTAACCGAAATTGGGCCATATGCAGACGGTTTCCCAAGCGCTTGTCCATTATGTTGACAGCCCCACCTAATTTCTGGCTACCAGTGCTTTCTATCTATGTAAGTTCCTGATAAATGGAAATGCATACGGGAGCCGAATGAATGTTTCGTTTGCTGAGGAAACCCCCGCATGGCTAAAGATTGCACGTTAGTTGTTCGATGCGGTCAGCCGGGCTGTGGGGGACGGCATCATAGGTTGGTGCGTGCATCAAAACCCGGAAACAAAGCTTTGACGTCTTCAGAGGCGGAGGTTTTTTGTGCCTTAACTCGAGGTAGTCGGCTTTTAGCCCGTCTAGGAGTTATTCTTGTCAGACTCTACGCTACACGCGTTTTTAGATGCTGAGTCCGACATAACATTGGTAAAGGGGACCTTCTGGTAAAAAAACGGTGTCAGGCTGCAACCCACCTCTATGGCCATGGCTACACTTAGTGGTCCCATGGAACGAACCTCCTAATCATATGATATCAAGCTTTTATCAATGGATGAGAAACAGTCGATAGGTATTGACAGAGCATTTGTTGTTGACAACTCACCCATGCGAGCTGTTCCATCTATCAAGGAAGTTGCTAGCTCGTGGCCGCACCCCAACAAAATCGCCCTTAACAAATTGGCTGAAATCGAGGTAGGAATTCTTCTCGGGTCCAATTATCCGAAGCGCACTGGGCACTCGATCGGCGATTGGGAGAAAAAAACAGCCATTTTCCTAAAGGCCTTACCTGTTAGGTTATTTCTTGGTTCGATGGGAATTAGAGCGAGGTAAAGGACCAGAAAGCATTCCTGACAACGGAGACCAGTGCGGTGAGGGTGGCCCCTCTTAAGCCCGTTTCATTACCAAGGTTAGAGTTCACAGCTGCGTGTTTGGCAATCCAAGTAGCAGATTTAACTGGAGTAAGTTTAAAAAACCACATAAAGCGTACTGTGATTTGGACAGGCTCCGTGATAGCTCTGTACAATGTCCATAACATATCTCCTAGGTTTTATACCTTTGCCGTGAACAGGCTAACAATTGCTCGTGAGGCGTCCTCGCTCACTCAATGGAGGCATGTGAAGTCGGAAAACAACTCAACCGACATTGTCTCTTGAGCGACATAAAGCTTCATTCCACTGTGTAGATGATTCACAGGACCAAGACTTTTACTTGAACTTTAGAGTAATTGGCCTCCACAGCCTCGATGCAAGCCGCTCAAGCTGAAAAGGGCTTTATGGTATATATCCACAAACTGGAACGAAATGATGGCGTATGTCTACTAATAGCCCTGTTTTCTGCTGGGAGAAGTTACAGGTTATTCTTTGGTGGAGATGTCCAACGTGAAGAATGGTCTGTAGTGATAGCAGATGGTTATGAGGCGGGCTCGATGGCTTAGGAAGACCCCAGCGTGTTAGAACGGCAAGCGGCGTACTCAAGAGGGATACTGAAAAGGTATGGTTGCTGGGCAGACGCGCTCGGGTTTGTTGACACTTGAAACTTCCCACGTTTATTCTGTCCCCATCTGTAACCGCCGGCCTACTTTTGTGTTTATGAACTGGCGTTGGTTTGTCTTATCACTTCACTAATTTGTCCCTGAGGTCATCCGGCCATTTGTGGCCGACGTTGTGCACGTGTGACCGTTTCGCGTGAGGGTTAGTTTGCTCCTTTGGCTTGTACTTTTGTAGCTCAAGTCGGCCATTTGTTTTGGACGAGTATCTGCTGCCGAGGTTTGTATGTGAATTTTCTTACATTAATAGCACCGTATAGGAACCGAGTTCCGACTTTTTTGCCTTCCTGGAGGCTCTGGTATTACGCGCCACTCAAAAATACTGTTCGCTTGCTTGAGTAAGTTGACGATGCTGAAGATCCTCCTCAGAGGACGGGCGAAGGCGGCCCTGGATGCGGCCAGAAGAGGCCCTCAGAAGTAGACTGGGCCGCAGCGGAGAAAGCTTTTGCAGCTGAGTGCGACACACCGACTGACCGCCAAGAGGCTGTGAGCAAGTTCAAGACGGCCAGGAATGCACCTGGATGTGACCCGGCTGTGTTCTTCGCCAGCCTGCAGCAGCTGTTGGATCAGGCTTTGCCGGGACACACGGAGTGTCGCTCCAGCTATTGCTGTCAGACCTGTTCTCCCAAATTGTGCAGCCTTTACTTGGTTTCTCGTTGCGACTGACGAAAGCAACTGGCCAGTTGAGTGTGGAGGAGCTGGTGCATTTGGCGAGGGAATAGACCCAGGCACCACTGGCCACGTTGTAGTCGCAAGAGAACAGGGATGGTTCAGCGGGACTGCAGATCAGAGTGCACCAACTCCCTGGAAAGGTTGCAGCCATAAAGACGGAATCGCAGAGACACGCTTAAATGAGGCGGTCCTGCAAGTGTGGCAGATTTGGTCAGTGGAGGGATCAGCTTCGTTCTAGTTGACTACTTGTAACTAACAAAACTTTGGTTTACTTCGCCTTTCCTGGGTGGGTTACGATAAGCGTAGTGAAATACACGCCATCATCAAGATAGACGGC